TTCGTTTTATATACCTAAATATAAAGATGATTTCTATAGTTAAAAAAATGACGTTTAAAAGGTCACACATACTACAAGATAGAAGACCGAACTCGTTGACCATTGACAATCTGTCACGCGTTTGATTTTAGAAGGGTCGTTCCTCTGGAGCGGAAACAAATGTAGGGTCCTAGGGAGTTCTATGAATCGTGAATCGTGCTTATCCTCAGTCACAGTTTTTCCCTATTCTATGAGTTGCTGTATTTTTCTTATTCGTGTCCCTAGTCCCACAAAGATGATGTCCCTCGCATGGGAGAAAAACGCCTGATTGAATTTTTAGTATTATCTATATTGTTCTGTGAAGTCGGTGTAGTATGTGTAATTACACTAAATTGTAGTTTTTGTTTTTTTCTTTTTTGCAAAACGAACGTGAAAGTCTTAGACATTTCTGATTGAACTTCTCGGTCCCCAGAAACAAAAAATTCAATCCTCATATTAAAATTAGTGATAGAATACAACGTTCCTTTCATTAGGCCTTTGTGCAGGTAATGTCCTCAAGTGGTGAGCTTTTGTCCGGTGATTTTCCGGAGGATTCGGCACATTGACGCTTATCGCGACGATTAGTTTCGCATGCTTCGGCCACCAAAGCGATTGCTGTCGCAGTGAACCATGTATTAAGCAACAAGTAGGCAACATTAATAATCAATACTTTTTAGGATTGGCTTCCGTCGTTTCTCCCTTTTCTGGTCACGTGACATGCAGCAATCGCACCGATGCGCGCCCAGGTAGCATACCAAGGCTGCGATCGGATTTCAACTGGTTCTAACTCTGTCATAATGCCGCTGCGACAGTGCGACCGTGATTTATTCATGTGCGCACATTACAAGTGCACATATGACCACGGTATCAGGAAGTCAGCCCCTCGCTCGGTCTTCCCAAATTCCATAATGCTAGAGTTGCGAGTGAACATATTCATGAAGAACCCGACTTTTATCATTTTGAATAACCCGGGTACGATTCGCTATCGGACCCTTGCCAATTCTGAGAGCTGCATTTGTCATCCTCTCTTTTTTTGAAAAGAAGGTCTCCTTATTGACCCCCACTGTAACCGGCAATCTACACACCCAACCCTAATCAATTCTTTTTGACAGTTCGACAAACGGGCACTTTCGCCCCATTCTTCAATCTGCGAATCGGCCTAGGGTGAATTGCCCTATTCGACGAATTGTCCTTCTTCCAGTTGTCCAGAGACCAATGGAATTTCGACGAAGTGACCGGATTCGTGCTGCAATACGATTCTTCTACAAGAATAGAAAGCCACGTGGAACGATCTATTGTTATATTCACACATGATGTAGGCTATTAGTACATCCGGGTGTGAACCTTCTGCTGCACCCCGAGACAGATGCGTTCGCGTCCTTTATCAGCAGTCAAGCTCCCACCTACCAGGACGTCATGAACTATCTCGACAGAATGGCGAGCTTTGGAGTGCTTCCAGAAGCTAGTTACATTACATGGGCTCCTGAAAACCACTATGCATGTCACATGCAAAAAAAAAAAAAAAAAGTTGCGTACTGCGTGATACTAGTATTATCGCTCTACTCACTGACATATAAACCTATTTGCAGGGAATGCATACGTATGTAAACTACTGACGACTGCAGTATACAGTGAGTAGTTGTCTGTTCCAGACATAAACGAACAAAAATAAAAATTTGTCAAATCCACACAATTGTTCTGCATTTACTCAGAAATTGTCGGGTCACCCCCCCTGCATTTATATACGCGTTAGATGTAGATTTTATTTAAAAAAAAAGATATCTATATTTTTTATTAGTGGGGAAATTACGCTTGTGCAAACTCTTGATGCCTCGCACCCACAGCTTCTAAAGCTCCTTTTAAAAAAAATAAATACTGACTCTGCGCGTAGTCAGTGGCGCTGGCGGGCGGTCATGTGTTTACAATGCGGGTCTCCGTATGTAGCTCATCTATAGAAATCGAAATGGGCAGGGATGAGGACTGAACTAGAAGTCCCTGGGATCTGAAGCGCGGCTTTCATAGACGTCCCCCAATTGCGATGCACTAGAATTCCCGGACATTGCATCCCTATCATATATTTCAAACTGACTGGCGAATGTCATCAGAATATTCCAAACATTCGAACTCTTAATATCAAAGGAGCGTTTGGCGTCGTGCAATCGACACCTTTAACCGATTGGTACATAGCTGCGCATCGGCACTCAGCTAACTAACCATCAAGCCTTCCTGTAGATGAAATTATATTATTTGTGTCTGCTCAGTTTCTTTGTCGGTCCGTCAACGTCGGCTTTTGTGGCACGACATTTTAGTATGATGAAAATACAGCAATGCCTGCAGGAACGCGGACTAAATATGCACAGAAGTTTGTACATTTAAGAAGGAAAACTATTGCAGCACGTGACCGGCGAGACGGAATGTCCAACGTGCCTGAATGTCCAACGAGGCGAAAGATCCAACCAGGACGGAATGTCCAACGTGCCTGAATGTCCAACGAGACGAAAGATCCAACCGAGACGGAATGTCCAACGAGCCTGAATGCCCATGGAGACGAAAGATCCAACCGAGACGGAATGTCCAAAGAGCCTGAATGTCCAACGTGCCTGAATATCCATTATTGGATCTTCCGTCTCGTTGGACATTCAGGCTCATTGGACATTCCGTCTCGTAATCCTCGGATGTGTATCAACCCTCAGTATACTCAAATATTTTTTTTTTTAATCTAAAACCTGAAGAAACAATCATGACCCAACCAATGATGTCCGCAGCTATTCAAAACATTGCAGTTGTGCATAATAACCGTGGTCTTATTTTGACAACTTTGCGCGACCTTGCATCATCATATCAACATGCATCACATTCCATATGTTTATCTTTTAAAGGGCCCATGAAACGATTTTTGGGTTGGGATAAATCATTTTAGATTGGGATTTTACTAATAGCACATCGTTCAGTGGACCAAAAGAAAAAAGGTAGGAAGTCAAAAGCCTGGCTTGCAGTGCGAAAATTTGAAAACACAGCGGACTATTTGGTACCTCCTCCCCTTCGTAAGCTCTCTGCCTTTTCACTGTGATACATCCGCGGACCCAAAAGCGCGTCATCCGGTCCAAACTGACGTCACACGAAACCGGACCTCACTTATTCCCTTCACCCCTAAGCTGACATTGTGGTGGAAGCTAAGCGCTTGCCGGACCAATCAGCCGCCTCCCTTTCATCACCTGACCTCATTCTCTGCAGCCACATTTGCAACGCTCACGCGGCAAGTGTGGCTGGCCCAACGAGCACGTAGCTTCCACAGCACTGTCAGCTTTGGGGTGAACGGGTTGGGGAAAGCAACTTTCGTCTCAATTTTGAGCGACGCGCTAATCTTCTAGGAGGACAATGGCTCTTTCCGGGTACACAATCCAGATTCCGAGCGAGGGGGGCCTCCCTTCTTTTCGTCTTCTTGAACTGTTTGGTGGAATGCGCGATTTATGAGTTGAGGAGGAAAGCTAAACAGGAAAAAGTTGGAAAAGCGTTTCATGACCCCTTTAAGTACAACACTCTGAAGGTGTTTTCTTCCGAGAACACATCTGCACTGCAGCGTAGCACAGCACACAGAATCGTTGTGCCCCCAATATGGTTGCTTCTCCGCAGTGCACCAAAGTCCATTAAGAAGCACACTTGCCAGAGCTTGCAAAGCTACCTAAACTTTGAGCAATTAGAGCGACACAGGTCTGAGAAGTTCCGACAACTCTCGTGCAAATTCATCAAATTTTGGTGAATTGTCACAGGCTGTAGCAGGGTGAGCCCATTAAAGCAATTAGGCGCAGAAATCCCATCAACGAATTCGCAAAAACTAACTTATTGCAAAATATACCGTGAAATCCTGAGATTCCCCACCCCCGAACGGTAACCCAACCCTATTTTTGACTTCATTTGCTATCTTCATTTAAACACCGAAAGATAGCCCACCCCTCGTAATCGTAGTGCTCGAATCAATGATGACCTTGGCGTAAATGCGTCTAGTTAGCTGTGCGGGATATAAGAAAACATTGACGACTGGGAAGTACAGTCATCTTTGCTTCATTGTGCCTCGCCGCGATAAAAGGCTTGACTGAGACGCATGATCTAAAAATAGCATTTTTTAAACTTTTCTCGATTGCACACCGAAAGCTAGCCCACTCCTTATTTTCACTTAATTTGTATATTAAAGTGGGCTATCTTTCGGGAGTTTACGGTAAGCTATTTGCAGTTAGTCAACCTTTTTTTAAGAAGGACTCGAGACAAGAGAAACATTTGTTGCACCTCAGCAATGAAACAGGTTTCCATGTATGTTCCTTTAGTCGAGACACCATCCCGAAATGTGGCAGATGTCTTCACATTTTGTTGTGGGAAGCTTAGAAGTGTTCAGAACTTCTGATATCAAGAACAACCAAGTGGACTAGTTCCTTGAACAGTCCCCCTTTGTAATTACTACATGTGGCATCACCACAATATCCCTCCAACCATGTTTTAGCCAACTACCGTAATATCTCGAGAGATGCACCACCCCCGAAAGGTAATCTGCCCCCTATTTTTGGCATGATTTGCTATTCTTTCAAAAACACCGAAAGATTGCCCACCTCTACAAATTGCAGGGCTCTGGCTCATGGTAACCTCAGCAGAACTCATGTTACTCTGCCACAGCAGGAGATAAGTGAACGTTTCAAACTGGGAAGGACAGTTTTTTTTTTTATTTTCCATGCCCCCCAATGTGAAAACAAGGTTCGCAGGTCACAGAATATAAAAGTAGCATACTTAAAAAATTTTCCTGATTGCACACAGTAAGTTATCCCACTCCTCACTTTCACACAATTTGATCTTTCTTTTAGGTGGGCTATCCTCGGGATATTATGGTAACCTGTAAGCTGGTTGTAACGATGGCAAGTGTAGAAGTATAGAAATACCAGGTTGGCACAAATAATGTGTGAAGTGTCGCCCTATGAACACATATGCAAAGTCAGTCACATTATGAAATGCACAGATGATTTATTACTAAACGGGACCTCAAAACATTCATACAGTCAGATTGAGCACAACATTGGAATGAATGGGCAAGAGGTTCTAGGCTTACACAATGAATGCCATCCAAGAGGCTTTCTGAAAAAGGCTAGGTTGCAAGAATAAGTATGGGTGACATCCTAAAATGAAAAATACCTACAGGATTCTTATTGCTTTGTTTGAATAATAATCTAAAAAGAACCAGAGCATTTAGACCAGACAGGTAATACAAAACTGTATACCTAACCCACCATGTCGCACAGAATTTGAATATGACACGTTTACAATGTCGAATTGTCTATCTAGGCACCAACAAAGTTTCTGAATGCCGTCCATATTTACAAACATCTCATACCACATTACCAGAACTCTTGTATAAGCACCAAATTGTCAGAACAAAAAAACATGATGCTGACAAGGCTGTTAGTTTGGAGGTGTTCCACACAACTGCAAATAAAGTTTTAAAAAAGTTCCTTTGGCATTGGGACGTTTCTTTCCCCCAATTAGCAGCTTTTATTCACAGTCACATTCTAGATGCAATCTTACAAATTGGCAATGAGCAGGCTCTGAACTATGTGGTTTACACGTCCATTATGCAAAGATGATGCATTTAAGTAAGAAGGTCCTTGTAAACAAAGCACTTGACAGAGGAGGTATTATGCGCAATAAATTCGCAACAAGGCTAAACCAAACGAAAAAAAGAGGTCAATCTAAAAACACGAGTGAGCAAGAGATCACTACATTCTGAATAGCCAGTGTACTCCTTCATTTCCAGCTACATCACACCATCCTGAAAAAAAATTAACAAGACTGACTACACACCCGTTTGTACCTGCCCAATGAAAATGCTCACATTCCAATGAAATGAAGAATGTAATGTAGCAGATATTGTTACGAGTTCCATTAAAAAAGACCTGCAATTTTGAAGACAAGCTGAAGAATCCGCATCTTGTCCAAAACATTTCTGCTACCTTTTTTGTTAATAAGCCCCACTACACTGCTCCGTCCCCGTTAGTAGTCAGTGGATTCACGAAATTATGGGTATTGTGCAAATAAACAAAATAACTGGGTTATGTGCTGGAGTATAAAATAAAAATACGGGTATAAAGATAGAAATCCTGCTACCAGTCTGCAAAAGCTAGAATGCACACTGGCACATCACACAAATCTGTAAAGTAATAGCAGGCTGCCACAGCATTTATGCATGCAGGTCTACATGTGTGCGATAAGAAGTAGACATTCTCCACCCAACCCAAACATTCAATGCTGGAAGTTCTCCATCCGCCCCGTTTACAAAATGTGAGTATTACTGCATGCTGAGAACGCTGTAGACGACAGGGAACAATCTCATCACTATAAATATGTGCCTTGACTCCGACATGCAAGGAATGGCATGTAAGAATAAGAAAAGAGTGAGCAGAGCACAAAAAATGGGTTTGCCACAGCTTTGTGCAGTACGAGACAAATGGACGAAAATTCCACAACAAAGCACTTGCACTATAGAAAATTGTTTGCCATGAAAAGGAAAAAGCGATGATGGAGCATCCTAGAATGCCAACATTATTACAACATTCACCAGCCAAATATGGTAATTGGCTATTTTTTTCCAAACATAACTAGACATTCATTACACACAAGGACACATCTCACCTAGGACACCAGCTCCAGGGATGTGCATTATTATGTGTCACAGCATTGGGCATAAACAAACATAGTCTGACAAGGCTTCACTAAAACATCTAAATAATAACAAGCACCTGCCAAAGTAAATAACTATACTCAACAAATATTGGTAAATTAACTTTACCAAGGTTTGAAACATTAAAAAGAGCAACCACCGACTGCCAATATGGGTCGATTGAAACCTTTCATCATGGCATGTCATCAAAAAATCCAAAAAAAAATTAGCTTCTCATCGTTTCCTCAAACGTGTATGTATTTGAGTGGTCACGTTCACCAGGTGAGATTTCGAAGCGTAACTCTCACTGTTGAACGAACCCCATGTGCTCTTAACAGACAACCAGCCCTTTGAGACAGGAAAGTGTTAGAAACCTCACCACAAAAAGCTGACAATCAAAAGATGCTTTCAACAAAAATTTCAGTTCTCTACACCCAGCCGTAATTTTAGAGTGTGAATTTACAGCCTAAAAATGCTTTCAACACAGTATATATTGAGCAGTTGTCAAACACTAGGCATGTGCAAAAAAATTTATTTTAGAACAAGAAATCAAAATATATATATTTTTTTTTTGCTTGAATGATGCTGTAATCTACAAAGTTAATGTTAAATCTTGAGCTCTCAGCACGAAATGCAATGCCACACTAAATTTGGGTGTTTTGTGCCATACAATACTGTGCTTCAACAGATTTAGTGATGGTTGCTATAGATCTCTACTCCTGACAAGATCCTGAGAGCCTATGCACACAAGTTTCCATTTGGCTGGTGCCAAAGTTGCTCATCTTTAGCCAACTCAGAAATGTCATGAGTAAAACTATGTTAGAACCAAAAATACTGTCATTTGCAACTATGTATAACCAACTGCTACCAACAGAGCCTTAATGCCTCCTTACTGCCACCAAACTAAGCATTATAGAATTAACCAGTTTCAAATGGTAACTGGCAAGTACTGCGTCGCTGCAAAAAGTAACTACTTGCCCTCTAGCTTGAATGGAACTCAAGATCTCAGACTGTGTATAAAGGTCAAAGCCCAAAGGGAGAAAGCCCTGCAAGCCTGATCTGTCTGGAATGTAAGACATCAAGTCTAAAGGCAAGGCTAACCGAAAAAGGGCCTCAAAGCAAGGTTGACAGAATCAAGCTGCCAAGGGAAGCACTAGAGCACGAGTGCTAAGGAACAACTCAAGACTGGACGAAAGCATAAAGCAACAAAACATATGCTATAGGAAAGATAAACAAGCACTATATTGTACGAGCCACAGAAGGATGTTACATTAACGACCTAAGCAACACCTTGTGCACAACACAGCCGACAACTCAATACTTGGTCACACCACAGCTGCCGCGTCAGGCGAATCGCAGCTGCCACCAAATCTCAATGTCCACAGCTCGCCGTAAGCAAAAAAAACTTGCAAAAACCTCATCGCCCAAGCTCCTTTCAATCCTTTCCACTAAGAGGCAAGAAGCGAGAGTGAAATCCCCGAGAGTTGATGTACGAACAATCGAAACACTAGCGAGCATGCGATGAAACGCAGCGAACCGGAAAGTCGTCACAGCTATCCTGGCCAAATCATGAGATTCAGCATCCAATCACACAACGCGTACCAGCACCTACACTAACAGAGCCCAGATCGAGAATCTAGATGTTTTGGAGACCGCAGTTCCCAACAAAGACAGCCTTCCCTGAACTGCGAGAAACCTCTACTCACTGCCCTTGGCTGTACGCGCCGGGAGGGTAGCCTTGCTGCTCGTAGGCCCCGTAAGCCGCTGCCTGCTGCCCACTCATGGGCGCCTGCGGGGCCCGGTAGTGCCCATAGGCGGGGTAGCCGCCGGGATAGCGCACAGGTCCGCTGGCACCAGCCGTGCTCTGAGGATACGGACTCATGTAGGCACCCTGCGCGCCTGGGTAACCTCCCGCCGCGCCCGGAGGGTAGCCATAGGGCATGCCATAGCCCTGCGGATAACCTTGGGCTGTGCTGCACTGCGAATAGCCTTGGTTCGAGGGCGGCACCGACGGTGTCGTGGTGGCGGGGTAAGCAGACGGGCTTGCAACGGGGTTGGCAGACGGCGCCGCCTGGGATGCGAAGCCGGGGGAACCGGCCGTCTGGTAGGCCATCGACGCGGGCTGCTGCTGCTGGTAGCTCCCAGACACAGGCTGGGCGGCCATTTTGTGGGAACCTCCGGCGGCCAGGGGAGCCGGGCTCGAGTATGGATGTGGGGTGCTGGGGTGAGGTGTCGTGGCCGGGGACGGCTGCGATGGCGGCCGCTGCGGTGGGGTCTGCGATGCTTGCGGGGCTTGCTGCGGAGACGGTGGCACGTGCGGGGAGTATGGAGAGTGCTGTGGCCCAGCACTACCCGGCTGGGACGGCGGCGGCCCGTACATGGCTGGCGAAGGAGACTGCTGCTGCTGGGACGCTTGCTGCGATGGCATTGCATTTCCTGCGTGACCCAGAAGAGAAAATCTCCATTCCAGTCTCAAAATGCAATACCCGTTGGGCTTGCTTCACGGGGAGGCTAGCACATCTTGAAAATGCTACCGAACAAAAGGTGACAAGTAAAGAAAATCTTCATTCCAGTGTCAAAATGCAATAACCATTCGGCTTGCTTCACAGGGAGGCTAGCACATCTTGAAAATGCTACCGAGCAAAAGGTGATCAATTTCTCTCTTCACAATCTCGGAATGGTGGCTACATAGTTGAATTTCTAAATTTTTTGATTCTGCTAAAACCAGGGTATCGAACCGATATTAAAAACGGTTTGGTAACAGTTACATTTATGAAATCAGTTTGGTTTGAGTTATTTGCAGCTTTGGTTTTTGGATTTAGGTTATCAATTAATCATTCCTTAAAAGTTTTCTTTTTTTTCCTTAAAAGAAAAAATATGTTGAAAACGAAAGCTAAAGTTTCCGTCTTTCTATCAGAGACGGAGAGCAGTTTTCTTTCAGCATCTATCATCCTTTTGAGAAAAATTCTCATGAACCTCTAGATCAGTTTCGTGTCCTCCCCAAAAGCCCCAAAACGTCACCATGCTCTCGTCCAACCCAAACGCCTTTCAGCAGTAATCCTACAATGTGATGATGGAATAAACTGGTGTTCTCTCATCTGTTGGTTGGACAAGCCCGTAGCACCAACTTCTGAAATCTACAAGAATAGTCAACTATCTGAAGTCAGGGAAAAATGTTTTCTACTTGAAGAGAGGGGAGGGGGAGGGGGGGGGGGGGGTAGGGCAGTACGGTTTGAGACAAAACATCCCGAATCAACCTTGGTCTGCACAATAGCAGAGCCTCAGCATACCCTTTATAGCACCCTCCACCTCTAAATCAAGAAAAGAAAGGAAACCGGTTCAACCTGAATTTTGTTTTGGAGAGCAACGATTCCTTGAAAATTGTAACAATATGCATGGGCCCCTGATACGATAGCCCCCCCATAGTAGAAATACATCCAAAAATACATTTTAATATAGAAATACAAAATACAATTAAATTTTATGAGAATATAGAAATGCAAATTTTAAAATGCTATTGCGATACATTTGTATTGTAGTACTCAGACTTGTACGTAATCCGTTACAAGTAACGAAATTACTTGTAATCCCTTACATTTATCAGTAATTTAGTAACAGATTAATTACATATTTTCTAGAGTAATTTTAAAGTAATTCCGTTACGTTTTTTACGTAACGGATTCCTTGTAATCCGTTACATTTTTTTTTTGTCAGAACCAACCCCCCCCCCCCCCCCCTCCCCCCATTCTAAATAAAGTTTTTTTTTTTTTTTTCATTTTTGGAAAGTTGAGCGCAGTGGCACTGTCACGCGAATCGACCAGCGCAAAGCGAGGCTTGGCACTTTCAGTTCCGCAAAGCCTTTTTTTGCAACACCAAGCCCCTGAATCTATCTTTTTTTTAGACCCTAACATCAATGTCAAAAAATCCAAATAAACAATTCTACAAAAAAAAAGGGGGGGGGGGGGGGGGGCAAGTTATTTCCGATTTTTTTTTTACTCCCTTTGTTTTTTCTTTGCGATCGAAGACGGGGAGAGGAGGATGGCAAGTGATTGTGCACGTCTTCGAGAAGCTTGAGGCGGTAAGTGCACTTAAAAGAATTAACAATGTCCTTCTCGGTTATAGCGACTAGGACCATTTTCATAATGTCCCAACATGAGACAACGCTCCGTCTACCCTACCCTTTTTGTGAGTCAGCTTTTTGCGAGCACTAAGAAAATGGTAATAGTCTTCCTTTCTTCTTCCTGCTTTGCCGCAGCAGTACGCATCTTATCTCAAGCAGATATTTTTACAAATAAAACATAATGGTGGCTGACGTCGACTTGATATTTTGGCTTGATGAGAGAGTGAAACTCATGAGTGGGGCCATAGCGCGGCTTACTTAGTGCTCTAGTACTCTACCGTTTGCTGCCCGTGGTATCAGCGGACGTCTATCTGGAGAACACCGGAGTAAAATTCAGTCGGTCCGTGCTCCATGCGTTTTTGAACGGCACCAAGAAAGGTACACACGGAAAACGTGCGTTTACATTTCCTTGTGTTAACCGACGTTCTAATTAATTGTTGTTATGAGTTTCCTTTTTTTCGTTTATTACTTATATTTATATACTGGAAACTTTTTTTATCCACCAACGTCTCAAGTGAGGCTCGAACCGTTCAGAACCAAAGGAAGAAGAATATCGAGCCAAACCTTATTTATTATTTAATTATCACCTTACTGTTACAACTATGTTTTGCTATTGATGACTTCTACAGCTTCGCGATTTAGACAATGGAGAATTTTAGTAAATTGGTCCCATCACTCCGATAACGATATCCGATACTTCACCGCCGTCTTTGCGTATCAATCATATCGTTATCGGGTACCGTTATCGCGGGTATCAGAGGTATTGGAAGGATCTACTAAATCTTTCGAATAGCAGGAAACGGCTGCAACGACGAAATTTTGCTCTACATTCTAAGTAAATAGTGCTTCCCTTGCTTCGCTGAAAAAGCTCAATGCAGAGCATGAAGCATTCGTGAGGCACAATATGGCACTCCCATCCAATGCCTCAGCTCAAATGGTGTTCAGCGTAGCAGTCGATATATTGAGTAAAAAATAACGCAAAATGTCTGACGAGACTTTCGAGAGCCAGCTGTTGCTCAAAATACTCAAGGTCATTAAATGGAACAGGTGGCAACAATAAGCACTCGAATAACCCTCTTCACTTTGTTTCTTGCTTGAGGATAATATTGTTAAAAGTAACGCCACGAAAGTAACGGATTACTTTTTGGGGTAACGGTCAGTTACTTTCATGGGAAGGTAATTGTAATTGTAATAAATTACAATTTAGCCTCGAGTAATCGTAAATGTAATTCCTTACTATTTTTCAGTAACGTGTACAAGTCTGGTGGTACTGCCCAACCTTGCTATGGAACTTGTTAGCCAATATTGCCGCCTGCGTAGCCAAGTCGGCGTAGCTCAGTCGGCAGTGTGCTTCGCTCCCACGCAGGTGGCTTGGGTTTGATCCCTGCCATGCCTCTTATTTTTATCTTTCCCCAAGTTAATAGAAGATTGTATAATGTTTCAGGATAATGTAGTTTGTTCATGGTCAAAAAGTATAGTTCCAGAACAATTAAGGTCAAATGTTCTAGGCTTTTAGGGAAGCCTTAAGAAAAGCTGTGCTGCATCGTGCAGTCAGTCGCGCTCCAGCGCCCGATCCTGCTAGTATGCTACCCTCGAAGCCTGCAACATTGTCTCTTTTCTCTTTTTTTTTTTCCGGCACAAGTTTGCCACATTAAGCATTTAGTTTCTGTCTGTCCATTCGTCGCCTCATCGTCATTCGTGATATTTTGGTAGAGTGCAGGGTATAGCATTCTATGCCCATGATGCATACCCCACAGAAGACGCACCGGCCAAGTGAGGTGCTCAGACCCGGAAGACTACCCCTCGCAAAAGACGCCGAAGCCTGAGCAAGCCGCTGCACCAAAGACCAACCCCCGGAATTCAGTCCCCTGCCGCAGAAGCTAAAGAAGACCGCGACGATGACTACCCTACCCGCCGTCTCCCGCCCGTCACTCCGGTGCCCTTCCACGGCGAAGCCCACGAGGATGTAGAGGACTGGCTGCAGCATTATGAAAGTGTGGCCCGCCACAATGAATGGATGACTGACCGGTGCCTTCAGAACCTCTACTTCTCGCTTGAAGCCACTGCAAGGCGCTGGTTTGAGAACCATGAAGCTTCCTTTACTTCAAAGGATTCCTGCACCGCTGAATTGAAGCAGACGTTCATAAACCATCACCGTCGGCAGCAAGTGAAGGACCTTCTTCGAGCAAGGACGCAAGGCCGCAACAAAAGCGTCATTGGCTTTGTGGAAGATGCCCTGCACCTAAGTGCCCGAGCCGATCCGGAGGCCGCCGATTAGAAAAAACTTTGCGTCCCCATGCTTAATGTAAAGGGTGAAGTTTTCGGAGGCTTAGTCCGCAATGCCCCGATGACTCAGTTTTGTGACCGAAGCCACATACATCGAGCGCGCACTGTTAGCCCGAGCAAGCCATTACCACCAAATCGTCTGCACGTCTGCTGCTCCAACCGTCGCATGTTCCCGACTGGACCTGAATATGTGTCGGCAGCATACGGCAGATCGTCTGTGATATCATCTGGGAAGAGCTCCCCTCCGCAAGATGCTACTCGCTGTCGATCCTCACTCTCACTCGCCGAGGTCGTGCGAGAGGAGGTTCATTGAGCCTTGCAGTCTGAGGCTCCCGTTACCGTAGCAGCACCGGAGGAGCCCACTCTAAGCCACGCCGCAATGGTCCGACAACCACCACCACCAGCCCGGCGTCTGTACATGGTGTGCCCACGACGTGAACCTCCAGCGCCGCAGTGTCCCCGACACCAGAAAGATCGGGTGCACGTCCGCCCAGAACAAGCTGCACCAAGGAAGACCAAAGTGTGGCGAATGGCTGATGAACGCCCGGTATGCTACCACTACGGGGAAGCCAACCACGAGTACTGTCAATGCCCCTACAAGTAACTCTGGCTTTGCAGGTTTGCACCAAATGACCCATGCCCGAGGTACGGAGAACGACCACAAGAGTTCCAGGAGCAAGTCCGTCGTTCGCCGTCCCCAGTGCAGCAGCTGACCAAGGGATCCGGCTTGCTGTCCCCGCCAAGTCAAGAATCACCCCCTCGTTGTTCCCGTCGGGAGAGCCTGTCGCCCTTGCCTCGCTGGGAAACCCAAGCACAGCAACCCCTGGATGTGGAGTTGTCGTAGACCAAAACAACGTAAAAAGCCTCCAAGAACGCCGGAGAGCTCCCACTTGACCGACGTCAGGCATCGGAGCGACACTTCTGCAACGATGCCCAACAGCCTCAACGTGACCATCGACGGCCACGATGCATAGGCACTCGTGGACACCGAAGCAGACTACTCAGCCTTGAGTGGGAGGCTTTCACGCAG